GGGTATTTAAAAGACGTGTAGATGTGGCACTGAGGGAAATGGTTTAGTGGTGGCCTGGGCAGCGCTGGGTTAACGGTTGGACTCCAGGATCTTAAGGGCCTTTTCCAATGTGAATGATTCCGTGATACTACAAAGGGGTTTAAAAAGAACAAGACCCAGCGAAAGGCTCACTTGATGCAGCATCCTTCCAAAATGAGGGATGATGCTCAACCCTCACATAGACTTCACTGCAGGCTGGGGCCTGACTGCATGAAGGAAACCTGACTCCAGCGAGCAAAGCCCAAAATAAACAGCAGCACCACACGTACATCTGTCTGTACCATCTGGCAGCGCTGAGCCCGGATCCGGCTCACGAAGCCGTAAACATCCACCTTCCTCTCGGCGTGCATCATGTCCAGCATGGCATCGATGACAATAAAAGTGCCTGTGCGTCCCACCCCAGCGCTGAAAGAGCAGAGGGGACAAGCGGTCAGAGCAGCAGTGTTGGCGTTGAAGTCCCTTGTGGAGCCGCCAGGAGCGAGGCACACGCTTCCCAGCAGTGAGTAAATAGCAAAATCTGTTGTGGGGATGAGTGAGGGCCTCAGCCTGGTGCTCAGCGTTGCCTGGGTTTTGCAGAGAGATGCTCACCGGATCTCTCTGCATCACAAGTGCCACGACCAGAGTGCACGGGTGAGCCAAGGCAAAACCTGAGCCAGCTCTGGCTTCCAGAGCCTCACGGGCTGCCTGTCCCTACCAGCTGCCTGCTGCTCTGACCAGTCACCCTCCATCACATGAAGATGAGCCCAAGGTGAGGCACTGTTTCTGTGCTGGTAATTCAGCCATTAAGGAGAAGAAGATGAGGCCAGCAGATGTTATGGAATGACAAAGCTCTTTTGTCAGCTGCCTCCGGAGAAGAAAGCTGTAAAGTTGGATTCAGGAGGTTGCAGATGTGACCACGACCTCTGCCTTTAACCATGAGACTTTCCCTTACTGAACATGGACAGACTCTGGCTCCCCCAGCCTCACTGCTGTGCCTGAAACCACTCCACGTGAGGTCAAACACCGTGGTCCCTGCTCCCAGGCATGCTGTTGCCCTCCTGCAACCAGGGGTATTGCCATCTCCTGCCCAGGGCAGCGGAGAGCCAAGGGAGATGCCACCAACACCCAGCAGTGATGATAAGCTTGGCTCACTCAGCATCCAGCTAACTCAAAAAACCACTCAACACTGGTGGTAACACCATCACATCGCTGAGTCCAAGAAGTTCCTTCAATTCAAATGCATTTTTCTTTAACGTTCCCATGTGGAACATTCCCATTTCACATAGGAAAGTTAAATAAAAAATCACAAAAAACACCCTAACCCCCCAAAAGTCCTTTTAGCATTAAATAGAAGATAATTTCAAGTGACCCAGGAGAGGCAGAGGTCAACCATGACCAGGACGTACCTGCAGTGAACTACTATTGCCCCTGCGTATTGCGGGTTACACGTCTTCACCTTCTTCAAGAACTTCAGCATCCCAATGGGGGTGAAGGGGACCCCAAAATCAGGCCAGCTGGTGAAGTGGAACTGAGTCACCAGGCGCTGAGGCTTCTTGTTCGTGACGTCGCCGACCTGAAAGGGAAATCATCAGATTAATGACAAATATTCAGATTTCCCTTCTTTTCCCAAAAGCAAGGGCAGAAGGGGAGTGACATGCCCAAGACTGAGCTGGATGCTTAAGAAGCACTAGCATCCACAAGATGAAAGGGCATGGACTCAGGCTCCGGGGCCAAATTAGTCTCTAAAAGCATGACATTTTAATTGCCCAGTGTCACATCTCTCATTCCAGGGGTAAGAGACACCAGCCTGGCCTTGGCTGTGGCTTCGACGAGGCAGAAGCTGCCGTAGTTCATTCCCAGCGAGCTCAAACAGAAGCCACCTCTCCATTCTTTCCCACACCTCGGCCCACAGCATTTCCAGCTAAAGGCAGGGGAGGAAACCACCCACATCCAGGCCGTTGGAGTGAAGGGTAAGGCTCAGGAGAACCCCACTCAGCGTCCAGACAGGTTTAAATCGTCAGCTCTTCCTTGCCTGCCTCTGAGAGCAGCAGGAAAACAAAGACAGAGACTAAAGCATCCAGAGAATCCTCAGAGGATGAGAAAATGTAGTGACAGATGGGAAAGCAATCAAAACCAACACATACGGTGCTGGATTTTGTCTCGGCCCATGGGATAAATCTGATTATTTGCAGGCATTAAGTATCTGTGGGTGACAGCAGGAACCAATACTGGTCACAGCAAGTGCTGGAGTATTACAGGACTGAATTTCAGACTTGGCTTCTAACAGCTTCCCTGCTTTCAGTACAGCAACACTGGTACCTGCTGGGAACAGTCTCCCAGGTGTTTAAGGTGAGTAAATTCACAGAGTCACAGAATCATCATCAAGGTTGGAAAAGCCCTTGAAGCTCCTCCAGTCCAACCATGAACCTCACCCTGACCGTTCCCAACTCCCCCAGATCCCTCAGCGCTGGCTCAGCCCGACTCTTCAACCCCTCCAGGGATCCTGGGGACGCCCCCCCCTGCCCTGGGCAGCCCATTCCAACACCTAAAAATGAGGGCTGCTGGTTGACAGCAGGGCAGAGAGGATGGATGGGAAGCCATTAGTGGGACAGGAACCCTTGGGGTGGGAGGTAAGCGTAGGGAATACAGTGGGATTGCAGGGGATGGACGCTACTTTGGGATGATGGGGAGATGATGGAGCTGAAGGTGCCAGAGGGAAGGTTCAGTACGTGCAAGAGGAATCTCAAAGCACCACAAACATCTGTGAGGGTTAATGACAGCCAAACCCAAGAGCACCCAGAGCTCCCCAGAGGAGCAGGCTGGAGTCTTACCCGGGTGTTCGTTACCAGCAGGTCCCGCACCGTGTAGCTCTCACACTCTTCCTCTTTCTTCAGCTCCACAGTGATGTCTCCATAGGACACGGAGCCGTCAGACGGCCAGTACTGGGCACACTTCTCCTGAGAAAGCATAACAGCACGAGACAGGGTGAAGACCAAGTTTTCCTCATGGGCTTGAACAGAAGAAGTCTTCTCCTGGGGCTGGCAGCTGCCCAGAAGCAGGTGGGATCCCACAGGCTTGCTTCAGAGAGGAGCTGCCCACTGCACCTGAAGGTGCTTGGAGAAATAAGGGTCTAAAGTTGGTTTATTCACCATCTCCCCACCCTGGGTCTACAAACAACTGGATTTTTTGCATTAGAAGTAGAGGCTGAAATACATTTCCTGACAGAGAGGGAGTGAAATAGCCCCCAGCGTGTGTGGCACTGGCAGTGCTGAGGCCATCAGGAGATTTTCAGTGGTTTTATTTTTATGATTTATTTTTCTGGTCCTTCAATGCAGCTATCCTTGGGCGCTCACCTGGCCTCTCTCCTCCAGCTCCGTTAGCATCACTATGGAGCAGGATTTCCACTCCCAGATCATCCTCCAGAAATCCTCTATCGTGTGCTGCAGCGGCCCTTGGCTGGCGATGTAGGAATCCTTCTGGCGATAACCCTGCGATTTGATAAACGGGGTTAGCGGTGAATGGGCAGCGCCCGGATGCTGGGAGAAGCAGGAGGAATGCTCCTGGACACAGGTTACCAAGCTCAGTTAAATTTTGGGAGCATCATGACTGCCCATGTGAAAGACCCCAGCTTGGGTAGAGCAACCTGCTCTCGCTGTGGGATGCGGCCCCATGCACGGGCGTCACTGCACCGCTGCTTGGCAGCTGAGGTGCCATCAGCCACCACTTTACCATGGTAAGACCTTTGTTTTTAAAGAAATGCAGCTCGAGGAGGATCACATCCCCTATGTGTGTGTGGCCTTATCCATTTGGTGAAGAAAGATTTGGGTTTCCAGCACTCCTAAGCGATGTTGCAAAGTCTGAGTGCTTTGCCTAAGCTCCAAGTACTTCAGGTATGATTTGTACTGGGGATTATTGGAAGAAGTAAGCAAAACTAGGTGGAAACTAGGTGATCTTTAAGGTCCCTTCCAAGCCAAACCACTCTATGAGATACAATCTCTGAAAAGCAGTAGTAAATCTGGTTGACTTTTGTCTCTTCCACAACCACAAAGAGCTTCTGTTTCCAAAAAGCCCTCTGATGTTCCCCTGTGCCCTCGCTGCAGACTGACTAAAGATGCTTCGTCATTTGGAGCTTATAATTTAAGCAAAGTTCAGCAGAGGCAGGAAATTGAATCCTCAATGAAAATTGCTTATGTGACATTTAAGCTTTCTGATCTCGATGCAGAACAAGGCGGCTGCTGGATGCTCACGCAGCCAGAGGAACCCGCAGGGACCCAGCAAAGATTTCAGGGAGCAATTAATTTGGGATGTTGTAACTGGGAATGCACTGGTTTTACTGTTTCAATCCATGGCAGTAATCATCTTTTTGGGGAAAAAAACCCCTTGCCATTAGGAGACAGAAACTGGGCTAGAAAAGAGGGGGGCTCTGTTACTTAGCCAGCACTGGCATCACTGCATAAATACTCCTAGGAGATGTCCCCTTGAAGTCAACAGGATTACTCACAGGAAAAGGATGTGCAATCACTTACCTCCTCAAAGTGAGGAAAACACTTAACCTCTCTGCCTTGTCTCCTCCCGTCACCCAGACAGGTATAATGGGATTGACCTGGTTATTCTCAAGGGGTTTGGGATCCATATATTTGTCTATTACCTAATCTAGGGGATGTTTTCTGACCAAATGAACAGTGCACTATAGCAAACATTTCCATGGCTACGTGCATCCGCTTCTCCAAAGCCATCATCAGAGCCTGGAGCTGCAGAAGTGAGATCAGAATTTGGAGGCTCTGCTCAAGCTCCAGCTCTCCTCTCCCATAAGGAAACTATATACAGAGGAGTTTCTTGGAGAAAGAAACCAGCATTGTCCGGTGACACAAAGCAAAGTCAAGTGGAAAGGGCCTCACAAAACCAAGAAGTGTCTCGGGACAGATTCTTTCCATAGGAAGGAGCGTGAGGTAAAGAGTTTCCACTGGGAGAAAATGGAAAGAAGATTAAAGAAGACTCACGTCAATGAAGGAAGCGTTTACGTAGTCTGTGTTCTCTTCACCTCTCTTCACTGGAATGATTACTCGGTTGAACTCATCTGAAATGGAAGTGAAATGATCTGAGTTTTGGGGAACACTTTCAAAACGTGACTCCTTGATAACACGGCCTTTAGCTGGGAAGTCACCAAGCCCTAGGTGAGAGGACAGAGATCTGGGAAGGGGAGGCCTGTGTTTACAGCACCTGGCTGGGACAAGGAGACTCGACTCTGCCTTCTGCCATGCCCTGGTTTGGGGAAGGAGAAGGGGATGCTAAGGACTCCAGGAGCAGGACCTGCTCAACACAAGGACTCCCTTCTCCCTTGAGGCAGAAAGTCTTGGCAGCATAAATCTGCTGAGAAGAATGTCACGGCAGGGACAGAGTAGAACGAAAGCAAGAAAGCCCTGGGGGCACTGTTATATTTGGCCATGAAAAATCACCTGCCCTTGACTCTGCCCCACCCCTTCATGCTATCCCTGCCTGAGCAGGCGGTGGGAGCAGATGACCTCCAGAGATCCCTTCCAACCTCAGTCAGTCTGTGACTCCACTACTGCGGGCACAAACGCCTCTGCCTCGGCAGCTCCGGAGCACTCACAGAATCACCGAGCGGCTGAGGTTGGGAGGGGTCTCTGGAGGTCATTTGGTCCAACCTCCCTACTCCTGCAGGGTGGCAGAGAGTCTGCCCAAGTCCATGTGCAGCCAGATTTTGAGTATCTCCAAGGATGGAGACTCCACACCCTCCCTGGGCAATCTGTGCCAGTGCTCGGTCACCCCCATGGTCAAAAAGTGTTCCCCAATGTTCAGGGAGACCCTCCTCTGTTCCAGTTTGTGCCTCTTGCCTCTGGTCCCGTCACTGGGCACTACTGGAAAGAGCCTGGCCCCGTCCTCTTTGCCCCCTCCCTGCAGGCATTTACAGACATTGATGAGACCCCCCTGAGTCTCCTCTTCTCCAGGCTGAACAGTCCCAGCTCCCTCAGCCTTTCCTCACAGCAGAGCTGCTCCAGTCCCTTCATCATCCTCACGGCCCTTCACTGGGCTCTCTCCAGCCTGCCCGTGTCTCTCTGGTACTGGGGAGCCCAGCATGGACCCAGCCCTGCAGGCGTGGCCTCACCAGCGCTCAGCAGAGCAGCAGGATCACCTCCCTGGGCCCGCTGGCGATGCTTTGTCTAAGGCAGCCCAGGGCACCACTGGCCCTCTTTGCCCCAAGGGCACGTTGGTGGCTCAGGGTCACCTCGGTGCCCACCAGGACCCCCA